TATATGTCCGTGTCACGGGAGAGAGAGAGAAAGAGAGAGAGAGAGAGAGAGAGAGAGGGAGGGAGGGAGAGAGAGACAGAGAAATAGAGAGACAGAGAGAGAAGGTGCATGTTTAGAAAGTGTGTGTGTGTATGTGTGTGTGTGTGTGTGTGTGTATGTGGTGTGTGTGTGTGTGTGTGTGTGTGTGTGTGTGTGTGTGTGTGTGTGTGCGCGCGTGCGCGCACGCGCATTTGAGTGCAGACTTGCACGTGTTCGCTTGATGATGAGCTTATTCGAAATTGTTTGCCGGTTTGGGTGATGATATGTGTATTTTGTTTGGTTTTACCCACATTTATTCATAATTATTTGGCACCCATTTATTCGAACATAACGCCGTGGGCGTACGAGGAGATAGAATGAACAATAATTAAAATTACAACAGTAATTCACGAACAATAATATCATAATATGAACAATTAGGCCGACTACTACTATTACAATACAGTTGCAGGGTTTGACCAAAGCAGGCAGGGATTAAGGAATATCTGACTGTGGAATAATTATCATAAGATTCAATCGCGTTCTCCTTGCGCATATTGCATTAGCTTATTAGCTTATTATATATCCCATATATTGAACTAATTAAACGTATGTCGACGTGGATAACAGGATAAAATAATGCTTCTAACTGACTGCTAGGCTATCGCTCTTATCTTCAATCAAATCAAATTCGCAGAGGCATTCGATTGTAATAAAATCGTATTCTTTGCTTTGTTCAAATCACTCCCTTCCCCAACCCCACCTCAAACCAAATAGGGGTTATTATGGTAACGACAGCAACCACATATTGCTGCAACAAAAGCAACTTTCCAGTTTTGTCCTATTACAAAAAAAAAACAAAAAAAAAAACCCCATACACAAAGCAACAACAACAACACAAAAGCAACAGATCGAGGGTTGCTTTTTCCACTGACAAAAATCAATATCATGTTGAACACTATAAAGTGTATCAAAACTGTAGTCCCACCAATAACTCTACACCCCCCCCCCCGAGTGCAGTTTCGCAAGTCGCATCTTGCATTAGCACTGCAAAGTGTTTTAGTTCGGTTTTAGCCTATTTATTATTTTATAGTATTAGCAGAAGTACTGAAAATGTAGCCTACTCATATAAAATTTAAGTACTTAAAAAAAAAGTAGGCCTACTTGTACTCAAGTACATTTACAGGAAAGTACTTAAAATGTACTTAAGTACAATTTTTAGATTGTACTTAAATTTGTACTTAAGTAGATCTAAATTTTAAAAGTTTAACAGCAGCTCCGGTCGCATCTCTCCACCCTTCTCTCGACCCACTAATAATAACATTGTCATTGTACGAGCCGTGCCCAGATCTACTCGCCAGTTCGAAGCTTCGCTTTCATGGTTGGGAGGAGGCGGCCAGGGATAAAGAGAATTGCGCGCCACCTAGTGGCAACAAAACACACTCTCGACTCTCGTCGTCGCATGATAGCCTAGCCCTAGGTTGTGTCGACGAAATGGCGGATGAGACGCTGTACGAGGTAAGATTTTCATTGATTCAACCTGTTTTTGACGTCAGTAATGCTGCATTAGATGAAATGAGGAATCGATAGGTTATTGGGTTACTGTTGCGACAATTTATAAACATTTTAACGTTCAATTATCAACAAAATCGTTGAATTTGCCTCTCGAATCTGAGGTAGAAACTGTGTCTGGGTTGACCAATCGGCGATGTGGTTTTTCTTGCATAATAATGATGCGCCCATGAGGTGTTGGCTAGGCCTACACACTAAACAGAATGCGGTAGGCTATCGCGGATTGCCACTCGCAGTTTTGTCTTGCGATGACCGGTGAGCATTCACGTTCGTGATTGATTAATTAGCGAGGTTCAAAGATGAGCGGAAAAGTTTGAAATAACTCTCAAAAGAAGACGTAGATTCTAGACTTATTTTGTCGGCATGCGGTCCAAATTGATAGACAAAAAAAAACTGGTTCAAAGTAAAGGTACCTGTGTGTGTAGAAATGGGTGATCATGGTGCTGATGGTGAGGGAATAAACAGAAAGAACGTTTTGTTGAAAGGGGAAAGTCTGGTTTAAAGATTTCTTTAAATTCAATACCTTTGTCTGAAAGAAAAATAGCCTTTGAGTCTCCTGTCTCTTATGAAATAGATGTAAAGTTTAATTCTTTGAAGTTTGAAATTGAAAGTTTTCATTTAAAAATATACAGCCCCTTATTGAGAAAATTAAATGGGGAAAGGGGAGGGGGTTGGGGCTGCAGACTAGCTTTTTGGCAGCCTAATTTATTAACAGCATCCTTTTTTATTTTTGTTATCTAGATCTAGATCTAGATCTCTAGATTTTGATCTGCATTCTGTAGTGTAATCAGGAATCCACTTCCTTCTCTAAATTTGAATGTTGTATTGATTTTCTCTCTATGTTTATTTTCTTTTTCTTTTTTTTTTTGTCATTGAGTGAGCGGTTTTCTTCATCCAAGGTGTGGTGAAGTTTCTGCTCTACATCAGATCCTCTGCTCATCGTCATCATGACAGTGCACATAACACTTAGGCTGAATAGCAACATCAGTATCTTCAAATCTTCTTGCTTCTAGTAGGAGAAAAAGTATGTAAATTTAAAAAAGGAGACAATATTTTCATAAAGAGATGAAAATCTTTTCTTTGTTGTCAAAAACAGTTTAAACTGCCATGTTGTAAATACCCGACACCATCGTTAAAGGCATTTTATTTTCTCAAACAGGTATCTTGCAACAAGTTTTATTTATTTTTATTTTTTTCGATGGTTTATTTTAATTTTAAAAGTTATTAAAAGTTCATTTAAAATATTTTTGCAACACATCAACACATACCTTGTCTTTATGTGGTTATTGATGAAGTGCTTTGTTAAAAGTTTGCTGTCTTTTTCAAATTGTGCCGTTGCCATTTTCAAGTACACCGTCATTGTCGTGAAATTTATGTAAGTCAAGTGATGAATTTAAGTCTGAAAAAGTCGAAGGTCCTTGTTAAACAGGGGAAACAGTAGTCTCACCTGAAGAACCTTGTGTTACGAGTCAGGATATAAAGAGGTGGACGGAAGACCCAAATTTTTAACTTTGTTAGAATAGGGAACCTCATAACATAATGGTGACAGGCTGACAGAGTGATAAGGTGTCAGCTTGTCAACACAGAATAAAGGCTCTATAACCCAATGAACCCTGACCTCCTGAGCCCAAAATTGTACCAGTACCCTGGCTTACTGAGGAAAAAAAAATATGCACACATGGCTACACACTGCCCCATGAACTCTGCATGCCTTCTTTATAAATTCAAACCGCTTCCCTCTTCCTTGATCTGCCTTGACCCTTACAATATAGATATAATGAACGGAAGTCTTTTTGACATCATTTTTCCCCTTTTTATCCTTGTACGGACTACTACTGTTCTGCGGCAGACTAGCACATAGTGATATATGGATGCTTTGGGGCAGGGGCAAATAACTCGCACACCGATATATGTCCGTGTCACGGGTTTATTGTATGTAGGCCTATTAGGCCGATTGAAAAAGAAAATTTGTCTGGCATCATAATTTAAAAAATGAGTGCATACTACTCACTTTTGAGAAAGTCTTTATTTGGCCTTCGGTTTCAATATTATGGTGACCAGATGTGGCTTCCCGGGTATGTGTCATGTGTGCATTTATTTTGCTTTACTTGCTACGTGAAAATGGGGTCATGTCATAATTTTGTCTTTTTGATAAGGATTTTGTGAAGGTTTTGTTGGTAGTAGTTGAAATTTTAATGTCTCAGCTCTGAATAAATAAAGATAGTAGGATAACCAACATAAGCTGCAATGATATTATAAAGTGGTGGAATATTAACTGTCCGTTACGTCGGTAACTAAGTGGTTAGGCCCTTGGACTCACAATCATAAAGTTTTAGGTTAGAATCCTATTAGGGTCCTGACATTGTGTTCTTGGGAAAGGCAATTTACATGAATTTTCCTCCCTTTTCCCAGGTTGAAATGGCTACTGGGTCATAGATAGCGAAAGATCATGTCAGTTTGTTAGTGTTTGAGCGTGTAAAATCCGCAGCTTGCACTGTATGCTTCCAAGAAAAACGGAAATGTTTCCGAGTGTTTTAGGGTCTTTTGGGCACACAGGTAACTTGAATTCATCAAGGATTGAAAATAGTGTTTGAGATTTCCGTTACTTGTCATGTCCGTGAAAGCCCCCAATACGAAGAAACAAAATCAAGGGAGGTAAAAAAAGAACTTTAAAACATTTAACACGGTTCGCTCCCCTGATGAACGTGTTGACGGTGTGAAAGGAAGAAGATTCAATGAAAGTGGAAAGCAGAAATTCTCACGTGCAAAGCCGACTCCTACGTCATTCCTTTCCTCACATTTAATTGGCTTTCAGAAAATTACACCTCTTGCCATCCGCACCGTGCACGTCCCACGACATGATTGCCTGTGTGGTGAGCCCGTCATGTCGTGCGGTCAGCATCACTCCCCAACCTCCCTTCCTCCAGTCTCTCGTGGTGAGACAAGGACCACATTTTGGCTGTAATATTAACAGAGAAACACCTACCTGCGGCCTGAAAGGCTCTAAAGCCAGGTCTTTAGTTTAGAATACAAAGTGGATTTGTGCGAGTGTTGGGTGTTCGGGAACTCCGTGAAGTCGATACAAAGAAAACTTTCTGACTGAAATGGGACCAAGCATTATGTTCGAGATACCCAAAAATTTATGATTTTCGTGTTCGAGATTCGTGGGCTACTGTAATAGTTCTAAAGCGCATTGAGTATGCTGTAGAGCTTGGGTACGAGTTATATTAATGCAGTTGTTATTATTATTATTATTATTAATTTATTATAATAATTAATTATATCATAGAGAACTGGGCAGAGTTGAAAGTGTTAATGTCTCCCATTGCCAGTTGACTAGGGGAGAGACATTAGGATTATAACATGATTCTTTTATGCTTTGAATTCCTTAAACAGAATTTCAGGGAGTCTCCTTATACTCTGAGGACCAACCATCCCAAACAACCACCTATACAAAAGACCACTTCCCATGTTGTTTTTCTATATATTTAGCAACATAAAGAGGACCCCTGAAGATGACTTCTGTTCTCCTTATAATAATTCATTGTCCCGGTTCATGGCCTTCTTTGGGCAGGTTCTAGTGTACTTTTAAAGTTCTCCAAAGGAAATAACCCAGAAAGTTTTTCAGTCAGTTGTTTTTAGTTTATTAGCTTATATTTTATAAACGTTCTGTTGTCCTTGACTTTATTGCTTCAAGTCGTTTGAGAACAGGAGCAATTCTGACCGGAAATGTATAGATGGTGGGATTTTCATGTCTTTCTGCTTTGATCCAGAACTGTGCCTTTGTGTACTTTAAAATATCTTGTTAAATTTGTTATTCAAATTGTCATTGAAGCCCATTACTTTTTGGGCACACACTCACATGTCAAAGACAGTACACTAATGTAGTGCTCCCATTCCCATACTGACCTACTCGTCAATTGCATTTTGTGTAGCAGTTGGATGCTCTGCTGTTGTACACAGTACACCTGAGTTCAATTCCAGTGTGGGGAAAATTTTTATGGACCATCTTTTCTTTTTGCGGGGGCGTAGCATGATTGTATCACTCTCAGCCTGGGTTGGTTATCAGTTTTGACTAGCAAGATCGAAGCCTGCGCCTCTTTATAAATGATTTAAATTGTGTCAAGGTGGTGTAAGACACTTACAAGAAAATAATGGGTGGTCAGTGGTTGCTCTGGTATGGTTTACTTGTTCTTTCCTGTCAATCATTAAATGTTCATTCCTGTTCCCCTTTTCTTTGTATGTTACCCTCTTGTTTTACCTTTAATCTTCAGTATGTGCCCCTTTCTTTCCGTTTTATAAACATTTGATTGCAACATTCATTTTAACCAGATTTTACTTTTTAACATTTTCAGGTGGAAAAGATATTAGGCAAAAGAATTTTACCCAGTAAACAAGTTGTGTACTTGGTACGCTGGAGAGGTTTTTCATCAGACCATGATTCTTGGGAACCGTCCAAAAATCTCAAAGCGTGTAGGCCCCTCATTGTAAAATTTAATAACGAAAATCTTCTAAATAAAATGCCCGAAGGGTCGCCAGTACCAGTTACCCCGTTGAAGAAACCTGGCTCTCACAAGAAAGGAGAGAAGTCTCCAGAGAAAATGCTTCGGGACAAGACTGATGTTAGTCCTATTGCTTCAGATGAAAAAAAGGCGAGCAAAGTTTCATTAAAATCACCCAAAGAGACTGTCAAATCTTTGAAAGCCTGTGAAGATAAAAGTAATGAGAATGTTCTAAAAGACAGAGACTCTTCAAACATTGTATCTCAGTTGTTAGGAAAAAGTGCAAGTAAAAATAGTAAAAAAACTAAAGGTGATATAGAAAATAAACAAGATAAACCATTTTCAAACAAAAAAACAGTGAAGAGGAAGTTTGAGGAGACTGTTGAAGATGCTGAAAAAGATCTAGGGCCTAACAAACCAAAGAAGCACAAACCGGTGAAAACGAACACAACTCCTGGAGCTTCAGAGGTCGAACCAGAAGAAGCTGCTGTAGTGGAGGAAGTTAGTGATGAGGAAACAGATGATGATGATATTCTATATTCCCTCACTACTGATTGTGATAGTGTACATAGTGTAGATGAAACAGAGGCCCTAAAAAATTCCAGTGAAATTTCCAAGAAGAAGCCCAAAGATACCTCAAAGTCAAAGAAAAGTGTGGGACTTTCTGGCGCTGTCGTGATACCTGGATCTGGAGCTGAATCCAGTTCTGTTCCTGGAACTGCCAAAAAGAATGGAGGAAAGAAAAAAAAGATGTCACTTATGGACTCCAAAAAACAGTCAAAGGACTGGATAGCAAAATCAGGTGAAATATTTTGATGATTTGTAACTGAATGTTGCTACTTGCAGGCATTACTAATTGAAAATAATTAATGGCACAATGTGTTGGTCTATGAAATAGTTTTATCATTTCTATAGACTTATGTTGTTCACCAACAGTTTTATTGCGCTTACTATTTTAAATAATATAAGGATAATATTGTGACTTTTGCTCATGGGGAAGGGGGGGGGGGGTGTCATGAAATATCACTTTTTATACGTTCATATTAGTCAGTGATAGTGAATAATGTTGATCCTTTATTTGTTTTTCATCGCTCTCTTTCTGTTGCCTCTGCCTTTTATTTCTTCTTTTCCTGTGCGAACTCTTTCTCCCATTCCCCTATCTTCTGACTTTCCTTTCTTCCCTTTTCCTTGCTTCCTCGTCCCGCTCTGGTTCCTCTTACTTTTCCTCCCTTTCTGTTTGTTCCCCTTCCTTGTTCTCTTGCTTCCATTCCTGTTTCTAAGCATCTCTCCCTTCCTTTTTCTCCTCATTTCCCCAAGTCATTCCCTTTTCTCCCTGTTCTCCTTCTTTCAATCCTATTTTTTATTGCGTTCTTTCTTTCCTTCCTTTTCTTTCTTTGATTCTTGTCCTTCCACTTTCCTCCCATTCGTCCTTTTCACTCCCCTTCTTCGCTTGCCCCATTGCTTCTTTTTTCCTCTTCTCTCAAACTCAAGGCCAGAGTTTCATATGCTGTTGTAATGCCTTTCTTTTTTACCATTGTTCATCCATCTCATCACCTTGTGTTGTAAAAGATGTGGAAATGTTGTTGCACGTTTGCAGGTCTCATTCGCTCCGCCTCGCCACCTCCTCTGTTTACGGCAGTGAAACACTTGATGGGTGACCCAAACACAGACGACCCGTCAAAACCGTCGGGGAACTCCCTGCCTGACCCTGTGTCACCGGAGGCTTCAGGTATTCTTTGCAAGACTGACTGTCACTGTATTATAGAAAAGCAGGGATGCCTTTTTTTGACTGCTGTCAGCATTCTGGTTTTTGTATCCACTTTAAAAATTGCTATGATTTCGTTTGAAAATGCTGACTAGCCCTTTAAAACTAACTGAGAATGAAAAAGGTAATTACTTAATCAAATAAAAAAAAAAATATCAGAATAGGCCGTAAGAATCTGCTTTTCAGTTCTCTATGCAGTCGAAATACCAAATCGACCCAAACAATTCTAATTGTGTGACTTTCAGAGTACATTAGCCAGACTACAATTTTTTATAGGAAGTCTTTGAAGGCTAAATTGTAAAAAATGTTCAAACATTTGTACTTTATCTCGAAGACTCTCCCACGGTCCTTGAGTATCTTTATAGCCTTCAGTCTTTTTTACCAAATTTGTTTACAAGGAAATGCATCTGGAAAATCTCGTTGCCTAATTCCTAATTATGTATTGATTATCTCTAAGTTATTAACAATCATGCTCTTCTTCAGCTTACAAATTAACTCATTAACCATACAATTTAAAAGCATGTTTCCGCGTAATTTTCTCTTGTTTGTGGAAATGCGACCCAACATATTACGTTTTTAAAACCGCTTGTTTCGTGTCAAACTGATCTATAAAGCATTACCGAGACGTAGAATTCATGTATCTTTGACTTCCAGATCAAACTAAAGGCTTGTTAGCTTGTACTTTTTAATATTTCCCGTACCATAATACAATAATAACTTCGCAGCCATGGTTATGGACCTCGACAACCGGACGTTGCCACCGTCCAGACAGGGTTAAAGAGTTAATACTAACTTTTCGCTGGTTGATTGAGATGGTCAGCTTACTCTACTCTACAGTAACTGATATTTTTACAAGGTGTCATTTCTTATTAGAAAGAGTTAGTGAAGTCTTAGATTTTTTTTTTTTACTAATCCTGAAATTGCTTTCATGAGTATTGTAACTGTAAATTCTTAAATGTAATTTTGAAATTTTCACAGCCACTGACTTTTTTTCTCGTTTCTCTTCAACATAGAAACCTACTTGGCTGACGTGCCATCTTCCTACTCATTGGCAGCAGAGGAACCTGTGACAGAGGAACAGCCACTCAGCCCAGGCACAATCTCATACAAGTCTCTCTTAGACAGTCTGCCTGACCAGATGCGTCCAGGTCATAAGGGCTCAAAGAAGGGAAACAGTAAAGGCTTGCATGGGGTGGGGAGGGACGGAGCCAGCAGCAGGAACAGCTTGCTGGGTGCAGGCTTTGCCAGCACGGTGGGCAGGGAGCCTGTGGAGAGGAGAACGAGCGTGCGCACCACCGAGTGTGCCTTCCGCTACAAGCAGATTGTGGTGAAGAAGTGCTGCCGCTACACACAGGTCTGGCTCAACACACAGACTGTTATGCAGAACGCGTTGAACCCCCAGGTAAGTGTTGTAACAGAATACACATCGTTGGCTAGCTGTGAAAATGTACCAAGCCCAGAAAGCCAAAATTTATGGGAGAGAGAAAAAGTAGCAATGCCAATCGCCCGCTGCGCCTTGTGCCGGAAATCGGCCTCCGCGCGAGGGGTATTTTTTGGGCCGCTCGGAATCAGAAGTGACTCTCTTCTAAGTTTAGTTACGGGAAAACTCCTGGACGAAAATCAATGAAACTCGGCAACCAACCAGAGGAAAGGTTAAACTAACGACATGCCAGCGTACAATCCCGAACGATTACTAGAACCGGAGATATTGCCGTGTTTGTGAGAATTTCCTCTGCGGTTCTAAAACTAAGCGGAGCAGCGGGTTGATCGCCGACCACACAAGCGCCCCACATGTCTTCTTTATTGCTGTAAAATTTCAGATCTCTGCGTTTAGTAGATTTTCCGTACCAACTTAAAATTACCACCCACCCATTGATAAAACACTAGATCTAGAAACTTAATCGCGCATTCAAAACGCGAGGTGCCGGCATGCAAGAGCGCGTGATCGCTAGGCGGCATGTGATTGGCTGCCTATAACCAAATGGGTCACCGATGACTACATCGCGGGTTTTCCCGATAGCGCTTTACTGAGTTTTAGAAGGGGTGATCGCGTCGCGGTAAAAACGATGTCATGCAATTCAACAAATTTCACGCTAATATCAGTCTTTAAGATCCAAAGTAATGAAGACAACGAAAAAGTGATAGCAGAACTAGATTTGGCACTAAAAATCACATGGAGCTGCCAAGTTTCATTCATATGCTCCAATTCATTACTGACTTATGAACAGTTTTTCCTCAAAATACATCAAAACATGTCCCACATTTTGGCGATTTTTTCCTATATGAAGGTCCTCCAACAGTTTGCAAACAAAAATCCCAATAACTTTTTTATTTATCAATGGATTTTTAAAATTTAAAAACCACAGTTCTTAGAATTTACTCTAGTTTCATTTAAGCCCATTTTAAGCAATTCGGATGAAAATTTAATTTTTCATTGTCATTGCTAGAAAAAGTTTCTTTCTTTTGACAATTGTTCCTACATTATGCATATTTCTTGTCTTTTTGAACATTTCGAATTTGAATTTTGACAAAATACTTCTCAATCAAAGCACCGGCAAATGATGCCACAGATTTAAGTCGCTGCAATTTAGGAAACTTCCAGAATTTAGGGCTTGGTAATTCTGAACTGCTGGCCGACAATATAGAGTTTGTGTAGCCTCAGTTTCCCATACTTTTTATCTAAATAATTTCATATTTGTTTTTGGTTTGGTGTCTCAATTGGAAAAGAAGGTAGCGCATTTGGAGTTTTAAACCATTTGCTTGTGGCGTGAATGGTATGTAATAGACCCATCAAGCTTCTTATTTTGTCCCATCTTTTTACAGTGGTGAGTGTTATTGTTTACCTTAAGGGGTCTCTGACCATCATAATTTTAAAACTTGGATGCTGTGTTCTTGTATATCTTTGAAATTTTAATCAGGTAGTTACTTGGAGCTCAAATGTGCTTTGTTGTTTTTCTTATTATTGTCAGACTGCAATTGACTTTGATGATGTGGAAATGCTGTTGTGACATGCTGTATGCATATGGGGTTTTTCTTTATCTGATTTGCTTTTAACTGAGTCTGAAATGAGGCAGTTTTAAGTACTTACATGCATGTGACTTCAGTAACTAATCAGTGGAGGGAATGAGAAAATATGTTATTCTTCAAAATCACGTGTACACAAAGTATAAACTTCTTGTGAGCCGCTTTTAATGCACATGACCTTTTGTTCCCTTCATGATTTGGCTAGCCTAGAGTTTTATTTGAACGTCATTTCAATAAGTAGTCTTCATCTCTTTGAATCAAAGTGACTGATATTTTTTTTCCAGGCCACTTTTATAAAGGGAAAGAGTGACATAGAGAAAAGAAGTTAAGTCTTGTTACTTTTAAGAATACTTCAAGGTGAGAACCCTTTTGGGTCAGTCTGTCCCGAGGTTGTGATGTCTGTATTTATTTGTTTCTGATTTTGATCTGCCCATTTCAGGTAATCCAAGAAATGGTATCAGCGCTGAACTCTGCGAAGTACGATGACAGTCACTTGGTGCTCTTCTCAAGCCTGGGCAACGTTTTCTGTTCTGGCACAGATTTACACTTTCTAGTCTCCGGTGATCGACGGATGGCAGCTCGACAAATGGCAGACAGTATTCGGTCAGTATTTTTACTATTCTTACTGAAAAAAAAGTAACAGGGTCTTTTGTCTGCTTGTTAATACTTATTGGTTTATTAACAAAAATCGGAGCAGAAAGCTGACATATGTTGCGTAGCTAAAATTATGAAATGTTAAGATTATGTCATATTTTTAATTATAGGTGCTTAAATATTCAGTACTTCTGCTGGGATGTTGTATCCTTCCTAGCTTGGGTTGGCCCTGACAGGCAGTCAAAGCCTGCCAATTAAAGGATTTAAATAGTGTCAATAGGGACATAAAAACACCTATATTAAAATTAGATAAATGAAACAAGCAATTTTTTTGTCTTTTCAGAGAGCTGACCAAAACCTTTATCACATTCCCCAAGCCGATCATTGCTGCAGTGTCTGGGGCGGCTGTGGGTTTGGGCGTGTCCCTTCTGGCGCTGTGTGACGTGGTCTACGCCAGCGACAAGGCGTCCTTTCATCTGCCGTACTCACAGCTGTCACAGACACCAGAGGGCTGCTCCTCCTTCACTCTGCCACTCACTCTAGGATTGCCTTCTGTAAGTAAAAAGATACTGTGATGATTTCAAAACTACATTTGGTTGCAGCTGAATATGGGAAATTGTTTTGGCTGAACGTTCATTGCAACTCTGTAATGATATTTTTGAGGCGGTTGATGCTGAGACCTGTCGGCTTAATACGATGTTTTATTGCGAGAAAGTACTGGTCTACTTGGGGGGGGGGGGACCGACCAGATATTTTGAAATGGGCGTTATCACTTTAAAAATTCTTTAGTTTTTGGGATCTTCTTGTAATTTTTAAAATGCAACAATTGGTTGTTGTGCGTGAGATAATTCTGTTCATCTATTTGAAAATATGCCTGGGAGGAGAAGTTTTGTAATAATCATGTTTTAGTGAATCTCAATCTCTGTCTTTGCTTTTTCTTCAAAGTTTGACTGCTGTCTATTTATTGCTTTAAGCTTTAGTACACATTTAGGAAGAAAGAGTTGCTGCTTTGCTTTGAACTGAGCTCTCTTAAGGTTTCAAAGGATGAAAACAAATAACCAATGGAATCGATAATTACATTCTTTATACATATAGATAGCAAGTAACTGGAATTAGTTCAAGAGAGGTTTTCGTTTTTCTTCTACCTGATGGTTTCAGTTGCCTCAGTACTTTTTAAGGAAAAGTGCTGGTTGTTTGGGTTAGAGTCATATCAGGTTGCAAGCCACCTTGGTGCTGATTGAGCTGGCAGCTTTGGTGCTGTAGGATACGAAACTAATTGTACTCTTGGAAATAAATGGATAAATGACGGGAAGGGGGGGGGGGGTATCACTTCAAATCCTTGAATGTTTCTTCTTGTCCCAGTGTTAACAAATGGGACTTTCAACTTTGTGCCCTCAAATTGAGATGCATTAAATACAGTAAGAGAGTATAGTAGCTGTTTTGATTTCTGCACAGATCAAGCTTTCATGGCCTCCACAGATGGTTCAATGGCGTCTCTGGTGCCGTGGTTAGATGTTTTGTCTTGGCACGCAGAAGTTTGATTCTCATGTGGGGAGAATTTTTGTAGAGCGTCTCTGTTTTTCTTCTTGGATGTTGTATCCCTTTCAGCTCAACCTGTTTGTGACAGACCCTAAATGATCAAAATTGTGTTGATGGTGGTGTAAAACACCTACATTTGAAAAGAAAGCAAAATGTACAAAAATAAAAATGATACTTCTTTTCATCTGAACTGTATTTTTGGTAGGGTATGATTAAATATGTGGTTAACGAGCTTAATCAGTTAGAGAGCAGCCTTGTACAGGTTTAGTTTATTTTTATTCGTTTCAGTCTTGTTTAGCAGGTGGATGGAGGGTGCCAGTGGTTGGTGTTGATGCTACTTCTTTACAATTTCCCTTTATTTTGTGTTTGTCTGGCTTTTTTTCATGACTTAGTGACACTTATTGTGTTAATGTGTTTATTTTTTTACTCAAACAATCAAACCTCTCTTCCTGGGTGGTTGGCAGGTGTTATGGTGTAGTTTCTCTTCCTTCCTATCAAGCATGTACCGCGTTTATCTCTTCTCCTTTTCTTGTGTTTGTTACTCTATTGTAACACCTAATCTTCGGCACTTATACGACCTAACTGTGTTGGAAGTGCTGTGAAAGGCTTATTACTGAAGCTAAACTATTACCTCTTTTCCCAGGCCAATGAACTGCTGTACGGTGGGCGAAAGATCACGGCCATGGAGGCGTATCAGCTGGGTCTGGTCTCCCAGGTGTTCTGGCCCACGCTCATGATGCAGGAAGTCATACCCAGGGCTCAGAACATGGCCACCTGCTCTGCCAAGGTGAGATAATAACCATAACAATACTGATCTTAGGTCACAGATATTGCTGAGAACCATAAAGCACCTCATAATGTTGTATAAGCAAGTAGCATTATATTAAGTAAACAATGTCTGTTGAGATAGGAATTTGAACCAAATGTGAAATATACTCCTGACAAGCTTACTTTATGGATTTCTTTACGATTATAAAAAAAGTGTAGTTCTGATTACGACTTTAGATAGCTTTTCATAAATAGTATCAGAAAAAGTGTAACTAGGAATCGTTCAATTAGCCTGTCTTTCTGTCTCTCTTTCTCTCTTGTTCTCCCCTTCCTGCCTTTTGTGTGTGGAGACGAAAATGAAATAAAGAAGGCATGTACTGTGATATGTGTCACGACGGGGTGGAATCAGGCTCTCGTCAATTTTTGGGCATATTGAGTCATTAGTATTGTCTTAGAGCTTGTTTGTTTTTTTCTTGTTTTGGATGAAAAAAAAACGTCCATTTATCTTGAATACAAGTTGGGATATTTGCGAATGAAGGAGGTTGGGGGTCCCCTGATTTCAGAAGTAAAATTATCGAGAAAATGGCCTCGAAAGTTGAGTTATTTCCTTAGTTTGAGAGTCGGCGGAGAATGAAAATTTACATCTTTTCTACTTTTAATCTACATTTTTCAATAAAATCCACACCAAGATGTGCTTTTTAATGTGCATGAAAGGTATTGAACCAAAAACAAAAAATTGTTAGAAATTCTCAAATCTGCTGAAAAATGCCAGTTTCCTGACTTTCATTATTTTGACGAGCGCCTGTTTTCACCACGCAGCCTCACATATGTTGTTTCACGTGTATGTTTTTTTCCCGCAGGCGTTGGAAGCAACGAAACTTTTGATTCGTAGTCACCACCGCACAAAGATGGAGCTGACTAATGAGACAGAGTGCAATCTTCTGCTTGAGCGCTGGTCTTCGGTGGACTGCCAGCAAGCAGTGGAGGCGTACCTAAGCAACGAGAAGAATCTCTCTTTTTAGTGGTCTCATCATCCCTGGATGTTCATTTTTATGTGCACTTACATGCTCATGTACACAGAACCAGCAAAAAAACATATTTGAAGTGTCATAGCTGTGTACATTGTATGTAATAGTACATAATTAACATTCAAACCACCAGCAAATGTATGTTTTTAAGTCAGTGTTGACCCCTCCATGTACATCCATGATGTTCTTTTTCTGTGCATATTGTAAAGCCCATTGAATTTGTCTTAATTTATGGAGAGTATGAAATTGCTCATATCATTTGTGGGACTGAAATATAAGTTGTGTTCAGTGGGTTTATAGGGATGAAACTTCTTTGTGGATGAGCTCTAACCATTTTTCCTTATATTCTTCATTTCATAGAGGCCTGGATTTTTTTTTCTCCTATTTTCTTCAGATTGGCGTACAAAATTAGCGTCTTATTGAGTTGTAATGATAGCCAATCTTGCTTATTTTCTCATTACTCTTTTGTATTATATATGCCCTTGGCAGCAGGCACAAGTGATGTGAATTTGCTCTTAATTCTTGCTCGGGAAAGCTATTGTATCGGATTTGCACAATTTTAATGTTGAGGTGTGTCTTGCGCAGCCTAGGTTGGTCCTGATGTTCAGGGGCGAAGCAATCCTCGTCAGGAATGAAAAAAATTGTGTTGAGTGAGCTGTAAGACAGTGACAAGATTTTACAACCAGAGTGGAGTCTGCTTAAACTGAAATCTGCTGGACTGCTGGATTTTAAAAAATTTTCAGTTTAGAGAGATTGTTCAAATAAGGAAGTAACAAATTGGGAATACTATTTTCTTTCGGCTTACTGTTGTGTTTGGAGTAATTGTTTTTGGTTCAAGCGGATTTCATTGTTATTTTCTCGTAACTCATTACTTAGAATTGATTTTACTAGTCAAGTTTTTTGGGACGCTTTACTCAGCAGGGCTGTCTTGACCTGTATGTAAAAGGTCATGTTCATGCAATGTATGCTCCTTGAGTGCTGCCGATGATGAATGGCTTTGGAATGTGTACATGTCATTCCAGAGACGATAGATATTAAGTGTTCATCAGCCCTTCTTTTACACTATTCTTGTTATTGGCGCCTCACGCCAACTGTGCTTACAATATAATGAGCGTAACCCCATAAAACTAAGGGTTATACATTCTAAAGTCTGTATTGCGAGTTTACATGAAGCCTTTAATGCCGGTGGTTCTCTCATGCATTTCTCTGTTCTTTATTCCTTCAATAAAAGTTAATGAAATAATTGGTAAGTTGATGAAGTAATAAGATGCATATGTATCTTCAATGTCGTGTCCGTTTTTAAAATTTACTCTTTTTTTAATGCTGTGTAGTATGAAGGAGGGGTCTGTTTGTAGGAATGCAACAGCCCAATAATTCTACCTCTTCTGCAGTAATTTCAAGTCTTAGTGCTGCTGGTAAATAAAAGGGCACTATGTTTGCATTAATGATTAATGCCAACCGGGTATGGACTGATGCATACAGATATCTTGAAATAGCTCAGATCTGAGCTCTAGTCACAAACAGTGTCACTTGTATCACCCATTTAAATTCTTTGTGAGTCTCGAACACACAAGTTTGTGTGTACCTTGAGTTCCGCATCTACTGTTTCTGTGTATTGGGTCTCAGCCATAAGCAACACACGTCCTTATTGCTCTAAATTACTTTTATGATGGTGCAAAATGTTTATTATGGTGAGCAATCATTGCATCTTAGTGCACTAAATATTTTTTCATTCCTCTACATGGTTTTATTTGGCCATGTTCTCCACCGGTGGGTCCATGCTGCACACACGTTGTGCTCGTCTGTCCTGTAACATTGTGCTGGGTGGCACGGGTGCATCGTAGGGAACCCCTGTCCAGTGCCTTTTCTCCTCCTGCGTGATACTTGGTACAAGTGTACCAGATGCTCCACATGGTACAGTGTTGACTGCGTGGCATCAGTTGACATGTCACTGCATACAAAGACTAACCTGTACAATTGTTCATGTGAGGAAAAAAATCCTCCTAATTCAGACCTCTTCATTGTTAAGATGCCGTTTTGTTTGTCAAGTCAGTTTGGTGAAATAGTTGTTATACTTCCCTGTTGATGCAGTCTATGTATTACAATCATTCTTCTGTGGAGATCGGGATGGCTTGTCCTAATTGGACCATTGTACTTTTGGCTGAAATTTGGAAACGAAATAAATATATATATATAGTATTGGAAATGGAAATGATAGTCCAGTTACTGGGAGATGAAATGCATACCAAATGACATATAGAATGAAATATAGAAATGACATATAGAATGAAATATAGAAATGACATATAGAATGAAATATAGAAATGACATATAGAATGAAATATAGACGGTTGTTATTGATCTTGAAATATATATACGAGAAATGGATGAGGAAAAATAAATAAGTGTAAGAACTATAACGTGTCAAAATGTCATAAGAATGTTCAGTATCTTTCATTTTCCAAAGCTTATGGGTTTGATACCTGTTATGTAGAGTATACCATTATGTAAATGCTGGTGTATTTTGTTTCTTCTAACAGATTTTCTTTTTCAAAGAGAGATAAGAACTTGTATATTTTTATGCAAATTTCTTTGTGACTTTGTGATACCTTCTTTCATTTTGAAATGCTATGCTTTTCTTGAGTTGACTGTTTCTTTGCGATGTCTGGATCTGCTCCCTTGCACCGAAGTGGCCTGGTTGTGTCCTTCTTGCTGTGAAAACAAAACCCACTCTCGGCACTTACTCCCCATCCCCGCTTGTTTTTATGGGTTTCTAGTTGTTCCTTTTCAGTGAACTGAAAAGGGAATTAAATCCTCTTGTGTCGTACCCTATTGATCACCTTTACAGTCTCATTATAGTGTGTTTATGTTGAGTTCTTCCTGGAAGGATTATGCTACAATTGTAGATGACATGGTTTCTGTTTTCATAGATGTTATTTTGTTGAAGGGCGTATGATCATTGAACAATCCACCTGAGAGTGCTGTTGAGTCTTAAGAGTGTATGATCATTGTACAAATCCGCTTTGTGAATCGTATGCAGGTTCCACAACATATTGCTGTACATAAGTCTTGTTTCATTCCTCTCAATGCCTTTGACAAAAAAATGTGATGATGACAGTGTGTTTTAACCTCCCTTCTCCTTGTAGTTTAGCTCCCTAGGCATCTTGCCGGCCATAGCCCTCCCAAGGGAAAGTGTGTATGATATTACAGTGTCGTGCAGCAGTGGTTTTGTTTGCGTGTTGATGAAGGAAGTATGATCGTTTCTTTTTCTGGTATTGCTATCAACTTTTAAGTTATGAATTTGTTTGAATGTTTGAAGCTGCTAGTTGAAATGGGTAGCACACTTGAGTTTTGTATGCAACCAAAGTATATATTTTATGCTTATTTGAGTAAGCGTATCGGGTAAACATTAGCTCAGTATTTGAGCATGGTGTGTTGACTTGACTGAATGCATGGTATAGTCTGACTGAGGAGTGTTCTGTGGCTTTTGTCTTGTGTGGAGCGGGTAAGAAGTTTGTGAAGTTCGGTATTCTGGCCATCTTTTCTGTAGTCATTATTGTTGAGGTCAAAGCATTTAGTATACAGTTCTTGTCAAAGAATTTTTAATTTATTTTTGTGACAGCAGCATGAATTGTGTTAGTTATGTCATTACAGATTCACATGATAAATAGAAGCGATGACTCTTTGTCACTATCACATGAATATCTGTGACGCTGCAACTTTAAGGATATTTTGGCATAACAGTGCTTCCAGTTAGCTCACAAGAAATGAATTTCAGGTATCTATTTGTTTTAGATTGCTGGCGATTGTCATTTAGTTATTTGTATTTCCAAGAAGTTTTATATATACTATTATATGAGTATGCTGTATTGGTAGGCATGTGTTAATGGTTTTGGGACACTGACTGGCCAAGTCTGAAGTTCAATGAAAATGTTTGTAATTTCTGATCTTTGAACAAAATGGTCTACATCAGGTGAAGACGTAGGTTCACCCTTGAAGCTATACAAATGGTGCTAAAATAAAACAGGTTTCGTGCTGGATTACTTAAAGAGGGACAGAATCGGACTTAATCTGTCTCCGGTCAATAGCACTCTCCCTGAGTTGGCCTCGTTGTGTTCAACATCATTGATACTCCGTAGGTTCGGGTCAGATGGGTAGCCTCTGTGTTGCTGGGTCAAAAGACTGCTGGTTTTAGGTCCTTTTTTTACACTGTGTGCAAGTTTCACTTTTGGTCTGGTGTTTACTCCAAAGCCTCATTAAATGGGAGTTAAATGTATTGTTTCAAATCTTCCTGTGAAAAAGATGACTGAATATGGCTCATGTTTAGTTGAAGTTTTATCAATCAGTATTTTTGTTCAGCATGACCTGTACAAGTGCAACCCTTCCATCTCACGTTGCATCTCTCTTCATGATTTTCATCATCTTTCGAGATGTGTTTCAGGCGCCAAAAACACATTGAAACTGAATTTTACAGCAAAGAGACAGGCAGCGACATTACAACATTCAAAGCATATTATTTGTCACTTTCCGTCTATGTTATGCAATGCAAACAGCAGCAGCATTTGAATTTGCAGCATAGTGTGGAACGTTTGCTGTTTGCTTGTGTTGCCAGGTGTAAAACTGGGGTCTTGATATTTCTGAGCTCAAGTTCTTGAAAAGACCATTATTGTAACTTTTTGTTTTATGGTCTGAATAGTTAAGTTAAGGTCAGAAGAAGACCCGTCATTTGGTTTCCACTGCTTTCTGTTTCTGATAACTGGCTCAAGCTTGCATTTGTTCAAGGGTCATTGGAATAAGGAAGAAGCCAGCTTTGTGTTGATATTCAGGAAATGCAATTTTTAAATATTTGAAAAAATCTTTTGAATGTTTCCAATACTTTGAATTTAGTAACATATCTGTGAAAAAAACCCTAAACCAGTCCTAAGATTGAGACACAGTTTGTCATACCACAGTATTTTGATGGTTTATAAAGAAGTCAGTTGAGTTACTTTGAGGTCTTATTGCTATTGTTCAAAATCTGTGGTCAGAGCTGAAGGCATGCACCTTTGCACTTTGTCTTTAGTTTGTTTGTCTTTGGAAAGAAAAAGTAGTTTGGCAAATATGCTGACAAATTGTGAAAACTCTTTATCTTGTTATATAAAGACAAGATTTGATTAAATTCATGAAAGCATGATGTTTAAAATGGTCACAAAAGTGGGTCAGCAGGTTTCATTAAGAAATTTTTTCAACCAATTTAGTTCATTCTTTAGAGTTTAGTCGATAAAAAGACTGGTATTTAAACAACCTTTTTAATGTTTACAAAGATTCTAAGTGTCTCGAGGAATTGGAGTTCAATGTTGGTATTATTAGTTACTACATGGTGACTCGTTGGAGTTATCCATTGTCTTTATGTTCCGTCAGGACTGGACAGTTTTAACAGGAGTGTACATTGCCGAGTTTTAAGAACACAAGGCACATTCACATTCCTGACATAGCTGCTCCACATTGTGGTCTTTTTTGTTGCGTTGCATTTTAATTGGTAAGGGAACAAATAATATTGTTACTCTCATGACCAAATTTGTTTTAAGCTGTGCTATTTTCATTCATCATTAGCAAATCAGGGCTTTGATTTGTGACTAGATAAACTTTGAACATTTTCTTGTAAGTAGGCCTAGAAGTAAGTTCTTTGAGAAAATATATTTGTAGTGACTAAGTAAATAATTTTCTGATATTTTGGTAGGTGGAAATGGTTGCTCCCTCAAGGTGAACTTCTCTGATTTTATTATGCCGTAGGTAGTAGTAATAAATACTCCCTGAATTAGGGACAAAAGTCCTCCCCGGGTATAATGAGACATGCAGTAAAAACAAAGGAGTAATGTAACTTGTGAGTGTGGCATGTTTGGTCTGGCCTCTCACTGTAATCTGGTATATGATTCGGTGATGAAATTAGATAGGGTTACTGTGCGTTTTATGCCTTAGCATATAGTTTGAGTTCCTCAAAGGGGGTGCGCCTTCCAAGTTTTACTTTTCTTTTTTTTTCTTTTAAAAACTTTTAAGTGCTGTGTACAGCAAATGGATATTATAAATTTAATTACCTGAATGTGTATGACAAGTTTAAAGTGCGTGGTATGAATGTAAGTTTGTGACAAAGTACTCATCACCTTTAATTTATTTTTTCATGATTATCCAGATGAAGTGTGTGAAACTGAATGCTCCGAGGATGTCAGGTTTTTGTCAAACAGGAAGCCTGTGAAGATGAATACTTTTAATGAAAAAAAGGAAGGGGGTTGGCATAGACTAACTGTACTAATTGAAAATACATATATTTCTAATATTACTTAAAATAATTTTTATTTTTTACTTTCACCCTCCCCACCCCGTCCCCTAAACACACACACACACACACACACACACACACACACACACACACACACACACACACACTCACAAACACACACACACCCACACAAGCGATACATTTTTTTCACTGTCGCTTGAAAAGGTTATTATAGAACTCTGTCACATACACATACTAATAGTATACACACAGAGTATACACTTTTGCTTCCCCGTATTGAATAAGATGCATATGATATTGGTACTTTATTCTAGAGCCTTTTTCCCTCGTCTGTTTGTTGTTGGTTGTTATTCGAATGGTCTGTGGTTCTCTCGACTTCAGGAACAAAATTTCTCTCAATACCTCAGCTGAATCTTTTCTTTTCTGTGCCCCAGCGGTCTCTATCCTTTAGTGTGTGCACATATTTCCATCTGACTGAGAGTTGTGACACGTGTCAAAATGTAGCTTTTGTAGTTGTAGGTTTTCCTTTTTGTGATCTCAACCTGTACTTTGAATACGAAGTACTGTGGAGTCCGCTTCAGATAAACTTTTAAGGACAGACAGCAGTAGCATCTTTCATGTATTTGAATAATTTCAAAGGGGACTGCGGGAAATTAAGGCTGGACCTTTAGACTCTTAAATTTAGAACAAGTAGACCAGAGACTTTTGTAAATCACTCATCAACAATTTTGAACGAGATTATTGTTTCTTTCAGTATTAAGACAAGTTGTCTCAATAAGAAGGGGAAAAAAAGTTTATTGCAAGAGGACTTCATTGTATTGGTCCAACCCGCGGATTGTAAGGACTTGTGCATGTACTTTCAGTCCTACCGAGTAGAAGTGTAATGAAGCGAGTGTATGAATGTGAAAGAGGGATGGCTCTGTGAATGTAATTGCTGTATCAACTGTCTAGTCTGCCATGTCTAAACAGTGTTCAAATTCAATAAAATTGTGTATAAATGAATTTTGTAGTTTGGTGTTTTATTATTGCAGATCCAAATATTCTTACTGACAGTTAAAAATCATAACTGGTGACTATTAATTGCTTTGTTCTTTTTGTGTGAAAATTACTGCTTGTAGAATGGACAATTACTAAAGATATTGAAAATAAATTACAGGCAACAGAAAAAATAGTTTCTCTGGAAACTGTTGGAATCTCCTGGAAGAAAACGAAAGCAATTGAGGAGGTGCTGAAAGAAGCCAACGTCAGCCGGTCACTATTCAAACTTGTAAAAATGCAGTTTCAAGGACACATGAATGACAAAAAGGTCCAGAGCGTCTTGTTCATCACAGGAAAAACAGAAGGCAAAAGAGGCAAAGTTAGACCAAGAATAACTTGCTGAGAGTTCAGAGAACTTGGATGGATGACGAGGCTAATGTAGGGTGTGGATGGTTGGCGAGTACTTTGGTGTGGTTCGCTCCTCCTTTCCCTATCAAACATCTATCGTCTTTATCTCTCCTTGTACTTTGCATATTACTGTCTAATAACACCTCTTATCTTCGGCACTTATATTACCTATTTCAGTGTCGCAAGAGCTGTAAAACTCTTTCTAAATACTAAAACTGAATTTAGGATTTTTGGATTTTTAAGTGTCCGAGCAGAGAAATCAGTGGTGAACCATGACTAATGTTAAGGATAGGACTATGCAGTATAACCCTTCAATTTGTTTAGGAAAAACTGGGTTTCATCTCGGCAAGTAGTATTATTTGCCCCATACTTTCTCTGTGAAAGTGAAAGAGAGTGACCTCAGATTTGATGAAGTGCCAGGTGTGTGGTGATCTATGTCCGTACGTTTTATTTTGTAGATGGATGTTGGTTGTTTGGTCTAGAGCTGTGGGGGATTTTATTTACGCAAACGGTTAGCTTTGTGTGCAAAGAGGTTCTGACTCGAACTGTTTTCTTACATCGTTTCTTAAGCTGACGAATGTATGCTTTTAGGCCAAAAAAAAAATGAACACAAACTCAATACTTGTACATTCAAAGGGAATTGTCTCTATTTTTCTTTACTCTATAGTTTGTCAGTACAAAAAATAGGTTCTAAATACATTTGATTTTGGTCTCCATATCTTTCAAGTCTTCCTGGACAAATATCTGAGTCTGAAAGAAGAATGAATTGTTTGGTGACTTAAACAGGAACAAAGACAAAAATACCATACAAGGATATTATTTTCTCTCAAATACACACCATCTGAACTTTGATGTTCAAAGGTTAAAACATAGATTTGAAAACTTATTGTCTTCCTGTTCCGTCTTGGTGACATTGATAGGGACAGTAAATTTACAATGTGAAATCACCCTTTGCAGTCTTCTTGTGGTGGGGGATTGTCAACAGTGCAGCCAGCTTGTATTTAACTCACAGAAAGTTAATAATAACCAAAAAACTACGGATACTGATATGTTCTGTTTTCAATTCTTCTGTACATAGATCTAAAACATGAAAATTCTTGTTGAAAAAGGGCAAAACATGTCGTGAATGGCGTTACGGTAACTTGCATAATTTTGCTTTTGTTTTGTATAATTTGGCCATCTAAATTTGCATAATAATTCTTCGGGGACAGATTATTATGTTTCAAGGATTACACTTTCAGCTCAAAACGCTAGCAGACGGAACTCATCTATTGTTGAAATGTGAAATCCACAAACATTCAATAACTTTCTTAAAAGCGGAAGATAATTTTTGAACGATTTTTAAACCAGAATGTTTGTGCAACGTTTCGCGATGAAGACTAATTTAAATTTAAAAAAAAAAAAGAAAAAAGAACGGGCTGGGTGAGACAATTAATTTGTCACAATGGCTAGATCGATGTCAAGAAACGTGCTTGCTTCAGCGTTTGTGCGAGCAGCTCGCCCTCGGAACACTCCTCAAGGGTCACAGACATGGGAAATAACTCTATTGCCGTTAGAAAAATAAAACATGCTTGAGGAGGGAATACGTATGGGCTACGAACGAAGCTATTGACGAACGGCTTCACAAGTAATAGTTCACAAGTTCTAGAGATCTAGAATCTAGCTCTAGATTACGTTTAACAAGTAAGAGTATATGATGTGTACATCAGAGTTAGTAATGATTAATACATAAGTATGAGTAGACCCACAAAGACATTATAAACACCGATCTTCCCAGTCACATCGTATCAGTATCATCAGTCGTTGATCGTTGACTGGTCTGTTGGTCGGATGATGAGTATAGTATGAGTGATCAGGCAAGGCAGTTCTGAATGAGCGCAACAAAAACTTGACCCAAGTCATCTTGATCTTGACACTGGTACAATTTTTCAGTGGATGCTACCCAGTCTCAGGCTTGTCTTTAATTCTAGACTACTAATGCCTCACATCATTTTTATAAAAAAGTAAAGTTGTTCCGGCATCCGATCCGGACATTGGGCTTGGGCGGGGATTGTCTTGTTATTGAGACAACAACTTCCTGGGCCTTCGGCATATTGTGGTAGGGGTAGGGTGGCCAGTTCACTTCCCGAACTCAAAGTCAGGTACCCATTACTGTTACTGCTGAGTGGGCAGGAGGGGCGAAAAAAATCAGCTTCCGAACCGAGGCTTGAACACTGACTTTCTTCTCTGCTTCTGAGACGATCGCACTAACCGCTCCGTTAGTTATTATATTACAGACTTCAACATAAAAGTTAAGGACCACCTTGACAGTCAGCCCTCATTTAAAAAAAATCTGGAAAAAAAGACAGCAAGGAATGTTTCAAAATTTTTTGCTCTGAAAGTGTTAATGGGTTAAAATTTCTGGTACGCATCATAAACGGACGTATGGTCTCGAACTGTGTTCACTTTGATGGCAGTATAAGCCGCCGTTTGCGCAAAATCCAGTATCGCATCAACATGCCACCAAGACGAATGCTGAGAGACTTTGATCATGCCAGAGCTATGGCATGGCTGCAGGATGGAGTTGGAACCCGAGAAGTTGCCAGAAGGCTTGCAGTGTCACACTCTATCATTGTCTGCTGAGGCAGCGCCATCTAGCCACTGGATTAGTCCAAGAACGCCCAGGTGCAGGTCCACCCAAGAAGACTACTCAGAGTGTTTGAAAGTGGTCCTTAACTTTTGTTGAAGTCTGTATAACAAACGACTACTAGTAGAACAGAGGGGTAGGGCTTAGGTTTGGGGTAGGGTTAGGGTTAGAGATCTAGGTCTTTTCTACTTTATTGTGTTTTAGGGTGGTCGCTCGTATAGGGAAATCCTTCCTAGTATTATACACTACACATATTCAATCGAACCTGCCCAGATGGCTACTTAGAAACTTTGTCACATATCTATAAATTTCATCCCCCCCCCCTCCTGCCTTGTGTTTTTTCTTGATATAAATCTAATCATAATGGCACTGCCTAAAATGATAACGGATAACCTGTCTAACGTGGCTGCAGCCACTATATAATATATTTTATCAATTAGCCAAAAAATCCTGTCTGATGTTTTTTAGACTGGAAAAGAATGGGAGTGTTTAGCAGTACTAGAAAAGAGGACTTCCAGTCAGGCTGCTTGTGTAGTCTGGGGAAAAACAACATAACCTTTGAAGAAGTCTCTGTGTCAGGATTAAAGTCAGAATCAGATGCTCTTAATTTTATCAGTATATTTCACCTCTTTCTCCTTTTCAGAGTGTTTCTCCGTCACCCACCAAGATGATAATTCAAGTTGATGCAAAGGCCAGGGTGAACCTGGCTACCAATTTGGCTTCTATGCAGGAAGCTGGGGAGCTGTGCGATTTTGCTGTCATCGTTGGGGAGTCCAAAATTTTAGCTCATAAGTAAGTACTTCTTAATTTTCCTTTTTCTTTTTGATATTTTGAAATATATACAGGGGAACCTGTGTAAGACGGAATCGCAAGGGAGCCAGAAAAAAATTCCATCTTAGACATTTTGCGTCTTAGACAGGGGAATTTAGGGGGAGATGGAAAGAGGGGGGGGGCAAAGGCCCAGCCGGTGGGATCGAAGATTGCTTGTCCGGTCAGCAAGCAGTGGTCAAAACTTCACACCTCTCAATTGCTATCCTGTTTAATAATGACATGCCAGCTTACTTTTCAAATTACCACAAAAGCGCTTGTCTTTCGTAGGACCACTGTTTGACCTATTGAAAACAGAAACGATTGAACATCTCCTTTGCTTCCACCCTTAGCCCCACCCACCAGGGTAACAAGCACGGTCAACCAATACCACCCCTTACTGCCATCAAGTAGGCTAAAACAACGATTCGAGGAACTGTTTTCTTTGGCTGGCCGTACGATCAGGGCGGAAGGCTTTGGTCAATCTTATTTCACACCTCTAGCTTCTGGCTACCCAAGGAAATTTCCGTAGTGGCTTGCTACTCCAGCACTTTCACTGTCACTGGTGAGATTTCACACCCACACTACCCTGACCATCTGCATCTCTCAGGGCTCACATGATGGGGTTACATCTACCCCCAAATTGCACCCCTACTCCCCTTCCTTGCCCAGCGGCATGGCCATCATGGCGTTTTGTTTAGAGGCGGCGGTACCAAACTTGCGAGTTTTGTTTCAAATCAGGACTGAGCGGGCAAAGCTTTTTCCGTCTTAGACAGGTGAAATCCTCAGAAGGGAGCGGATTTTTCTTTCTGTTTCCGCGTTGGGCAGGTTTCCGTTTTATATTGGTAATTAAAGAAGAATATATCGGGGGACAGGGAGATTCCGTTAAGACAGGTTTCCGTTTTACACAGGTTTCCGTTAAGGCAGGTTCGACTGTACATATAAATACATGAACATTGATCGGTAAATTTTAACAGTGATAAAATGATTAGTTGAAATTTGAATAAATGGGTAATTGATACTCTTCCATGTTCACTTCTGTTTTAAATATCATGTTCGTTTTCTGTGAAACCACAAGTGATATAGATGAAGCAAGATTTCCACTGCAGCATATATGTTCAGAACTTTTTCAGATTGCCTGAATGAAGAAGAAATTACTGAGGAATACTCTCAGAGCAAAGGCAAAGGGCAGTACTTTTTTCTGGCAGCTACAAATACATGATCTAATATTTAACTTAATTTAAGTAACACATTGCATCAAAACTTGTTTCTTTTGGATTAAAGTTAAAGGGTTAATTTGAAACGTGAATCCACAGGTGTATCCTGGCAGCGTCGTGTGAGTATTTCCGCACAAGTTTCCGCTTCAGCCAGTCCTCCGAGGCATCCTCCAGTATTGACCTCTCACATCTCGGCTGCAGCATGTCCGTGGTGAAAAATATTATTCAGAGCTTCTACAAAAACGAGATCGAGCTGGAAGAGTCTTCGGTGGAGGCTGTACTGAGACTTGTCGATTACTTCATGTGTGAGGATCTCCGGTTGTGCGTGGAGGTCTTTATGGATAAGACTCTGGGTTTCCACAGTGCAGTACTGTACTTTCAACTAGCCCTGCAGTACAGGCTTAACTCGGTACGTAATGAATAAACTATTGAAGAGTTGCAAGAAACTGGATCTCTGTAAAAAATCACGAAAAGGTTGCAGAAGTGCCTCGACTCAAGAGAAATAAATAAATGTCCTTTGTAGAGGTGTTTATTCTGCCCTTTCGTGATTTTCCTCAGTGCGTAAAATGCAACCACCCAAGTGGTGTCTGGAATGGAAGGGATTTTTTGTCTGAAGATCTATGAGAATATGAGAACTAAGACTTTGACTGCTTTATTTTCCTTGCTCTCCTTTGATCTGCTGTGTTTTATCAAAAGCCAAGAATATGTTTGAAGTTTGCCTACTTCATCTAGCGCGATGAGTTTTAAATTAAAAGTTTTTCACTGGAGTATTTGTTATTTAAAATTTTGGTAAAATCATAGTCCAAGCAGAGTAGAATAGACACAACTTTTAAGGTCTTTAGTTCTTTAAGTGGTGAGGTTATTTAGGAAATGCAAAATGGTGACTGTTTATCGTACACAAGTTTGTTGCAGTGGTGTGAACATTGTTATATGGAATAATAGTAGAAAGGAGAGACAATTTCAACAAAATTTCTGATTTTGTGTGCCTTTGGTGTTTTCTTTTTTTTTTCATTTCGAAATTTGTGATTCTCAGAGTTTTCTTTTGACATTTTCAGTTCCCTGAAATTTGATTTGGTTTTCATGTCATAAAAATTTCAGTTTTTAAATCTGTGTTTGCTCTTTTTGGGTCTTTTCTGACAATCATGTCTCTGATAATTTTTTTGTTCTCAGACCAGTCTCTTCCGCAATGCCCAGTGCTACCTATGGTTCCGGTTCCATGACTACTTCCTCTATCACCCAGACACTTTGGACTCCAGTGTAGACGTGTTACGAGCTTTTCAACAGTACAGATTGTTTCATTTCTGCTCCCCTCTGCAAGTAAGTTTTTGAGCAGATATTTCGTGTTATTAGGCCTTGTGTTCTGTGAGCACCCCCTGTGTTTTTTAAACTGACTGCCTATCTGCCATATTTTTCATTGCTGTCTGTCATGCACCCATTATTTCAATGTATATTTTTAAAAAATTACAGTGACTGTGACAGAACTAATTTACATAAAGTTATGAATATAGTGGCGGTAATAATGGGATAAAAAATATTCTGAACTTGCAAACCGAAGCGGCTGTGCAGAACTTTGACCACAGCATATATTACAGCATAGGTAGGCAGAGTTAAAGTAGTCTTCTTCTTGGAGACCTGACCTGACTGTTGCTGGCTCCTAAACAACAGTGACAATTTTAGAAATTTTTACGGTAGTTGGAACTAAAAAACTAATTGATTTATTTTTTGGAAATGTGTATAGGGTCTCTATAGCATAAGAACATGCTTCATCACTGTCATTACACAAGTGCCTAAGTCATTTTTTTTTTTCGTACTTGCAAAATGCAAAATATGCGGATGTATTGTTTGCGCATAATACTGTAGAATAGCATGATCAATAAAAAGCCTTTATAAGAAAATACCCAGATTGTCTCTCATAGCTGAACAAATTTTGTTCTTGGAGATGGAATAATTTTAAGGACAGCAAGGGCATGTACAGAATCAGAAGGATGTTCAGTTATCACAATTATCAAAACCTTACTCATTTGCAAATTATGTATGAAGATGTTTGCAAATATTTTTGAATTGGTTGTTGTATATGATGGTAGACTAGGCAATTCAAAGCATGGTGCCAGAATCTCATTTAGTAACTAATACTTAAAAGGAAAGGGAGAAAAGGTCAACGGCATGATCATACCAAAGTAACAGTGACCTTTTGAGGAGTGTTAAAAGAGCCTTGGTTTCACATATTTCTGGTTATTCCTTTTTTCCATGCTCATGGACTACAGTATAACCCACTTATATCGAAATCCGATTTATAGACATTTTGACATATCGACATATTTTTCATTTACAAAATTTTTCCTTCAATATCTTCACTAAACAATATCTCTTAGATCAACTTTTTTTTGGCCCACTCTGCTTTATTGACATGTTTCCTGGGTACCTGGCGAAGCCCACGAACATAAATGAGGGATTAAGCCACGTTAACGGTTAACGCATTAGTTCTTCATTAAGTCAGCATACCCACCAAGTAGCCTTGACACACCAGGCTTTAGAAGGTCATATAGGACCTACACAGTGTAGTCTCCAACACAGTATGTACAGTGCCTCACAGACGTGAGCGTCTCGCGCGCTGGGCATCACCTCCCAACCCTCACTCCCGATTGCTCCCTTCCCTTCCCCATTCCATTCTCAGTCTGTCGCTGCAAGTGCCACGGTTGTTGAGTCAGTGCCTTGCCTTTCCATTTTCCCCCCACAAGCGGCCATAAACAGGTCGTACAAGGATGCTACAACAAAGTTTGCACTGGTTTAACTCTAACCCCCCTCCCCTCTGCCTCTTGTCAGTTTCAAGAATCAAGGGAGGCAACCAGCTTAAAAAAGTAGTGTTGTCTTTTAAAGCTGACCTCCCTTGTTTTTTCCTCTTTGGCTTTATATTTTCATTTATTGACATCAAATCCACTTCCCAAAGCATGTAGATATAAGCAGATTATACTGTTTGTCCCCATGGGAATCTGTAAAGTTTTTTTTGCTGTTCTTTGTTTCGTTTAGGTGCTCGACTTTATGCTGAGAAATCTCTCCCATGCACTGTCAACAGTACAGCATTATGATGCAGAAGAGGCCTCGAAAGAATGCTGTATAGAAAGAATCACTCAGACATTTGAGATCATTTCGTCCGTATTTGACAATATGGAGCGAGCGGCAATTAAAAAATGGACACCATACTTGCTGAGATTTGTCCGGAAATGGATGATGAAGGGAAAAATGTTGAAGGCATTTGGTAGTCTGAAGAATCATGTACACGACCTCAAAGAGAAGCTGGTGACTGAAGCTTTAGGTGAATCTGAAAGTTCTCGCTCAGTGGAGGAATCTAAAATAGGGGAGGTACTTGAGATTCAGTCTGAGGAGATGTCAGAGAATTCGAGCAATGGGAATGCTGAAAACACTAATCTAGATTTAAGTGGGCCTCGTGTTTTGAGCAGACCATCTTTGGGATCTGCTAACTGTGATGCTCCAGACAATAGTAATGGTTTGTTATGTAGTGCAGCAAACTTTAGTGCAAGTTCAACTGCTAGTGAAACGGTTACTACTCAAATGACTCCTGCGTGTCGCCTGTGGAAAGTGAATGGAAGAGATGCCTTGAGGTCCAATGGGTTTGAATGTGCTCCTGAGCTTCGTAACCCGGAGAGCAGTGTGCCTTTTGTCGCTGATGCCCTCAGTGTGGTTACTTCCCCTACCCCTGATTCAGCAACTGCATTAACGTCTCCCATGTCACCGAAAGATGTCCTTGAGCGGCACATGTCAGAGATTCTCGTTGTCCTCGCACCGTCAGCAGAAATGTCGTCCCAGGTGAACGTGGTGGACGCGGGCAAGTCGTGGCCGCTGGTCAGTAGCCCTCAGCTTGAGCTGGCCTTGTACGATGTGGAGCTCAAGACCTGGAGGTGTTCTGGGAGGTTGGAGTTTCCGCTGCCAGGGGCAATGCTGGAGAAACACATGTGGAGACTGGCCTTCTTCAACAACTGTGTTTATCTGTTCAGGTGAGAACATCGCAGAATAAGTGATTTGTCACAGAGATAAAGAAGAAAAAGTGATAAAGTAGCTGCAAAATTTTCTTTAAATGTGCATGCAAACTTGACAAGAATCAAAGGTAAAGAACTTAAGGCTTCGGATTTCAGTTTTCTTTGTTCATAAAAGAATATTGAGCTTTGGTGTACGTAATTTTTCTGCAGGCAGTTTGATTGTAGTAAGGTTAACACATGGAAAGGTACTGATTGATGTCCTTTCTTAGTGATGTGGCCGTCTGCCATGTTGCTGTAGGTGGAACTTTTTTCATGTCGTTTTTAAAAAAATGTTGGTGTCTATAAAATTCAATGACAAGCACATCTGGTCGGGTTAAGCCGTTTAATACTTAACAACTAGTAAGTATACTCTATTCACATGTTCTGCTCGGAAGAGACACTAACCACATGGTCTCGTGCTTATATACTGCTCACAACACTGATAAGGGTAATCACTACGAAAGGACGAAAACAGCTCACGACAGTTACGGGTGGTCACTAAGAATAATGGACGAGGACAACTGGACACTGACTTATTGTGTTAAATCCCTTAAACATGTTTGACAGTGACAACACTGCAGTGTCTAAGGAGTTGTAAGTTTTGGGAGTCAAAAGCAGTTTTTGTCAAATATGTATTGCAGTTTTGGGCTTCAAAAAAGTGAATGAGCATCATTGTTTAAGTATAAGTAGCTCGTCACAGAGTAAGCTTGTTGAGAAAATTCCTTAGATTCTCTCAGGTTGTAGAGCTGAAGGAAATGTAGTGTTCTAAGACGAAAGTAGTTTAGTCCCTTCTTTTGCGATCTTTTTTGCTATGCTTAGGTTTAATTGTGTGGCCTAAGACTGGTCTTCCAGTTGATACCCTTGCTTGCATAGTAAACCAGCATCAAAGTTGTTCGCTAAATACTCGAGTTTGGTTCCTGTATGGGAAAGTTTATTTTATCTAGTATCTGCATTATGTTGCTGCAATATTCTGTCACTCTCAGCACACAGTTGGTTCTGAACAACAAGATTGAAGCTGCCCGTCTTTTTAAGTTGTTTATGTTGTGTCTATGGAGGAGAAGAATACATTATAATCTATCATCCAGTCAGCTTTTCCTCCATATGCTTGTGCTGTCATGTTCCTTGATGTCAGCAGTGGTATTGTTCTGGTTGACGGTATTACTGGTAATCCTTTCTTTTCAGAATAGAAGTGCTTGAAATGTATGAACTTGTTTACTTGTCTGTTCTATTTGCCTGCATTCAGAGTTCAAGTTGTTGGGAAAAAGTTATCAGAGCATCAGAGGTTTCAGAATTCTTATTGCCATTCTATTTTCTGAATCAAATAGAAATTTTGACTAAATGAAGCAAGATAGTACTAGTGAAATAATGTTCCTCTTCAATTTTCACTGAGTTACATTTTTGTGTTCTTTTTTTAAATTTCAGTCTGGTGAAAGCTACTGGTATTGAGTATGACCTGACTACAAAGAAGTGGACTTTTCTCAAATGTAGCGAATTGTTTGCGCCTCACAATGAAGACTCCCCTGTGAAGAGTGTCATACCAATTGCTGTAGGCAGCAAGCTCATTGTCTTGTCTATGAGTCGATCCCCAAGGACAGATGGCTCATACTGGACACAGCAAAATTTCCATGAGTTTAACTTCCAGACGAAAACGTTTACTCACTCTGCGATGGTGCGTGATGAGCGCATTGACCTCCCGGTCACTCAGTGGACAGTACATGGAAACACCTTGATCACAGTGAAGGCTAGCACGATGATGTATCGCCACCTGTCTCGCATCCAGTACATACACGTGTTCGACGCAGACACATCGTCGGTGAAGACACACAATGTAGTGTGCGCTATGGAGTCGGGAATTAAGGTTCTCATGAAAGGTTCGGTGGTCTATCTGTTAGATAAGGAGGGCTGGTGTCGCTCGTACGACTTGGGCAGCTCTGAGTGGACAGGCCTCACCCGCTACCCGACGCAGACTCAGACGTCTTTCACCAGCCCGTACACTCAGGAGAGTGTGTACCCGGCTTTGACGCGTGTCACGTGCCATGCTGGCAGCTCTCGCTGGGAGGTGACCACCAGCCCCAGTAACTGCAGCGCGTACATGCAGGAGGTGCTGGTCGCGGACGACGGGTCGATTGCCACCGAGCACCATGCCCCGCCCCCATTCCAGTTCGTCACTGGGTTGTGCCCCGGCATGATGGCCAGGTCCATGCTTGACCAGCTGTCCCAGGCACAGTTTGAGTACTGTGAGTCAAAGAACTGTTGAATGAAAGAAGAACAACGAATTGTTGAAATACTCTTCTTATAAAGCCACTAGAACTAGAAGATGGGTGACTTGATTGCAAATAGATGAGTAAGAGACTACTATTCCATGTACACATTCACAGATAGGTTTTAGGGCTTGACTTCTTTTGATTCCATTTTGCCTTTTGTTCCTCTCTCGTTTAAGCTTCTTGTAACTTTATATATTATGTAATGCTTTTAACAAGGTGCTTTTTGTACAGTCTTGATATAGACTATTATGCTTGAAACATTATATAATGTGTAAAAATGTAATGCAACAGAAACTTCCTACTCATCTATTTGCAAGTAAATTTTATGACGTGTTGCTCTTCTGTTTTTATGTGGCTGAACGTCTTGTTGGGAGGGTGATTAAGTAACCTCTGTTCAGCTGCAGGCTATGCTCCTGCCCTGGAGGTGTTTTTCTGTCAAATACTCAAATTTTAAGTTCTTTTTTTTTAAATTTGATCTTTTTAAAATTTGGTCACCAAATCTAAGTTTATGATTGTCCCTTGCTGTCTGTAGCTCAGTTTGCACTGTTGTTGTCCTTGTCACTCATATATGTTGTTGAGTTTGGGCCTTTCTGATTGATTATGATGTTGTAAAGTGTGCTTTTCTGCTCCTGATACTTCTAGTTGCCTACAAGGTTGGTGGTTGGCGGGTGCTCTGGTGTGGTTTGCTCCTTCTTTCCTATCAAACATATGTGGTCCTTATCTCTCCTTCTTTTTTAAAATGTTTGCTACTCTCTTGTAATACCTCTAATCTTCGGCGCTGATATATGACCTTATTGTGTTGCAAGTGCCATAATAAAACTCTTACTAATATTAAATCTGGTCTTTCAAGGAAGTGGAAATGTTGATGGTGATCGAAGAAAGGACTCGTTCAGGTTTTGTTGTCACTGGCCGTGGAATCGCTGTTCGACTTTCATGATTATAGTAACTGATTAGTTAGCAGTGTGAAGTACTGATGTGGTTTGAATATGACCAGTGTGTGTTGAAAGATTTTGATGTACATGTAATTTGAAGAGAAAATTGTCATATAATATTGTCAGTGTCACTCCACAAGTGCTTACATGTCATTTTTTGAAGTTTTAAGAAAATTAAAGAAAAGGGACGTCCAAAATCAAATCCTTCACAAGGGCACTCAGGATTTTTCAGTTAAAAACTAGGAAGGAAGTACCAATACAAAATGAAACTGTATTGTAAGATGCTCTTTGATGTCTTTTTTCGAATAATAGCTTTATCTGGAGACCTCCAGAAATTGGTTGTGGAATGACACTGATAATTTTGTGTCCTTTTTTTTGCTTGTACGGTACTCCGAGGGTCTTTCAAAAAGTTTTGTCTCCAAGTTCATAATTTCTTTATTACTGATGCTACATACAAACGTTATACACCAAATGAAAGCTTAGGATGTCTGCTACAGGACAATGCCTTTACTTTTCAACATAGTTGCCTTCTTTATTGATGCAGATCCGCCAATGTCGAATAAGGTGTCGCATGCTGTCGGCGAAAAATTAATGTGGTTTTCCTCTGAACCAGCAACGCACATCTTTTTGAACTTCATCATCATCTGCGTAACATTTTCTTTTGGGGTACTCCTTCAACTTAGGAAAAAGACAAAAGTCAGATGGAGCAAGGTCTGGACTGTATGATGGGTACGGTAAGGTCTCTTGAAATCGGAGACTTTTCCTGGCATCTTGAGTTTGTCAACTCGTGTGTGGACGGGCGTTGTCGTGGTGCAAAATTGCATTTTTTCCTTGCCGAACTCGTGACAGCCATGCTCCAAGTTTTCTCAGGGTCTCAACATATCGTTCAGAGTTGATAGTGGAACCTTGTTCCAAAAATTCCATATGAATCAGACCATCGCAGTCCCAAAACACTGTCATAAGCACTTTCTTTGCAGATGAAACAACTTTGATCTTCTTGGGGCTAGGTGAGCCAGTGTGCCTAATTTTTTTCGATTGTCTTTTGTTCTCTGGGTTACAATGGTGTACCCAAGTCTCGTCTCCTGTGACTATACGGCGTAAGACAGCTTCACCTTCATCAGTATAACGAGCCGGGGGTTCATCACTAACTTGACTTCGGTTCAATTTCAGCTTGGGTGACATGTGGGGAACCCACCGTGCATACACTTTCCTGTAACCCAACACATCATGGATAATACACTGAGCACTCCCTACAGAAATCCCTAGCATTTCACTGACATCTCTTACTTTGATCCGCCGGTATGCTTGGATGATCTCATCCTCTCCCTCCTGGTTTTGAACATCACTGGCAGAGTTGGGACAACCACAATGAGCTTGGTCATGCAAATCTTTCTCTGCTGGACTGGTTTCAGCGAACTCCTTTGTCCATCTTCGAACAGTACTTACGTCTACTCATGTTTCACCAAAGACAAGCTTCATTCGCCTCTATGAATATCAATGGGTGCAGCTCCCTCTGCAGTAAGGAACTCAATAGCAGCTCTTTGCTTTAAGCGCACATCCATAGGTTTGCTGGACGCCCTTTTCTCTTGGGCGACAATATACCCTTGCTTCCATGATGTAAACAGCAATAGCATAAAGGTGTGACATCATAGCATAATTTTGTTTTTTGGGGTTTGAGAGTATACACATTGAAAGTCAATTGTGTACAAATTTCATGAAGATATCTTGAATAGTTTAGAAGTTATCGGAGAGGAGGCAAAACTTCTTGAACGACCCTAGTATATTTTCCTGAAGTTCCAGTAATTTTGAAACTGTGTTAAAATGTTTCAGTATTTTTCGCTGATAGTCCAAGCACCCCCTCCAACCCCCCTATTTTTTAATACGATGTTGTCGTTTCTCTTGCCTTCTGTTTTGAGTGCACTGTGTGCCAGATGTCAGTCAGAGATGACACCTTTAATTTTTTTGAGCAAGCAAAAAAAGCTTGTTCGGGTGTGAATACTGTATAATCTGCTTTAGGGTGGCTGGAAGGTGCCGCTGGTATTCCTTGCAATTTTTGCTTTTATTTGTCATTTATTTCTCTTGTGATCTTGCTTTTGTCAGCTCTAAATGATGTTTTTTGGTACTCCTCTAGCTGTGTGTCTCCTTGCGTCTTTTGGATGTATGTAACTGACCTCTCCTAGCTTGCATGGCTAGACGGTTTTGGTTATATATGTTGTGTAACTGGGACTCTCTTCTAACATGTTGAGAAGTGTGTTGAGATAATCGGCTTTTGATGATGTTAACTCTTTGGGTGGCGGATTTTTTGTGAAAAGTTACATTCTCTGAGCGGCGGATTAATTTGGTGGTTTTTAGTACTTATCAAGGAATTATCTTTAAAAAAATTGTTAAAGAAAAACTGTAACAGATGGAGATATATATATCATATATCAAAATATTCAGAAATGAATTCTCTTAAGATATTCACCACATATAGCAAGTAAAAAAAGATGTTGTACTCACATTATTCTGCCTTACGAGAAATATTGCTGATAGTCAATTTCTCGGTTTGTAATCCGCTTTGAAGTGATATGCCTGCCCGACAAGCAAAATGGAACTTTGCAGTGTTTGCATTGCCAGGAAGTTTGTGTCCTTTTAAATCCATCTCTCCTGGACTTTGCGGCATTGCAGACGATACAGTCTCGCATAGGTTTCGCCCGTTTAGCTCCTGGTTTTGTCGTAACATTGTAGGCTGGGCAGTGAGGAAAATTTCTGTTCAGCCTCTCTGGGATCTCACTGCTCAGCTTGTTTCCACTGCTGTTGGGTCCCAGGTTGCCAGGGGCTTCTTGAATTTATGCCTTTGCTATCATTCTTCTGAAGATATAGTGGCAGACTGGGTTGGTGACAGATTTTTTGTACAAAATGTAAGAGTTGCACATTGTCGCACAAAATAAATGAATGAAAAGTTTTTTCCACCACTTGACAGAGCGGCGAACACATGAATAATTTTTCATTAGTTGATCACTAAGATCAATTCCCCCCATGTTCCTCACATATTCGACTATGACATCTGGTTTCTTAATGTTTGTCCATTTATATCTTTCTTGTCGAGTGTGAGCAAGGGGGCTCTCGTGGCCTAGAGGTTAAGGTGTTGGCCTCTCATTCAAAGGTCCTGGGTTCGAATCCGGGTAGCGACCGAAAAATTTTCTTCTCTAAAATTGTCTCCTTTCACCTCCTTTCCTGCTCTCTAGCAATGTTCTGTTGTCTGCTTTCATTTCCACTTTCTGCCCCCACCCCCTCACCTCCTTTGCCCCCTCCTCTGGGCTCCTGACTCTTTCTGCAGCCTTTCTACTGCTACTCCTTAGCTCCTCCTTACTGCTGTCTGTCAGCCACACCCCTGATCTTCTGGTAGGAAAGATCTACACCTAGCCTTCTCGGACAAGGGCGAAAAATCTCGGAGGGCCCGTTTGCAAGTTGCGCACGTTAAAGATCCCTTGATGGTCTAAAATCGATAAGAGTAGGCTTCCACCCGGGCAAAATTCAAAATTTCCTACCAACTGAAAATATTAGGTGTGTCCCTTATGCAGTTGCAAGCGCCATAAAACACTTACCAAAAAAAAAAAAAAAAGAGTGTGAGCATCATTGGGTCGTGTATGGTGGTCAGCATGTTGACATCTCTCTGTCCATGTGTTTATCAGAAAATAGATGCTCTTTCTGACGAAATATTGTTTCGCCTTGATCAAGTTTTATTTTTGATTTCTTTATCATTACCTCAGGCATGCCTCTGCGGTTTGTCCTGACAGTGCCAGATGCTCCTGTTCTGAGGAAATAGAGTTCGTCAAAGAGTTCGGGCGACACGTATAGTAATTGTCGAGATAGACATTGTGGCCTTTATTCAATAGTCCATAAACAGCAAGGAGACCTATTACTAATTTGGTGGTAATGTTGCACTCCTCTAGGTCTGCTCTTTCTGCTAACTCATGACATGATGGCTCCAAGTCTGCTCCGGTGTAAATGTTCAATACAACGAGGTAACCGGACTCGGATTCACATACTTCGTAAATCTTGATTCCATATTTAGTAGGCTTCATTGGGTTGTACACTTTAAACTGAAGGCCGCCTTTGAACCCACATGTGGCTTCATCGAAACTTAGATTTTTCGAAGGTGTGTATGCATCGATGAACTTTCTTCTCAAATGACTCAGAAATGGTCTAACTTTAAACAACGGTTCGCTTTTGTCATCCTCCCCATTGTCTGCCAGATGCAAATTTGTGCAAATATTTTCAAACCTTTTGTCACATGTGCATCGGGAAAAAAAGTTTTATCCACACCGTCAGTGGACCAATACTTGTCTAGATCATCTTTTTTTATAAGGCCCGAAGCAATGACTAGAGCTATGTAAGCTTTCATCTCGTCCAAGTTTAGTGTTTTCCAATCAAGGATTCGTGCATGCGGAGAATGATCATTTGTGCCATCACCTTTAGAATCACCTTTAGAATCGGCTAATAAATTTGTTTGATCACACCATTCTTGTAATAGATCATCAGTAATAA